TTGCTGCATTACGATCCCTGCTAAAACAGAAAGAAGCCTGTGCTACCAATGAAGAGACGATAAAAGAGAAAGTGAACGAGAGAACCCAGCTTTTGAAATTAGAACTAGATAAGAAACTTGAGGAATGCACAAGAATGGCTGAGGAATTTGTTGACATAACCGATCTTTATGTCTCTCTATTCATCATGGTGAATCAAATAGCAATCTTGTTTTACATGGCAGGTTAATGATCTTAGCCATGTACAAAAATATCTAAATCACCTGTCAAGTAAGTCGGAGCACAATTCTTCAAATTTGGCTCGGGTGAGAGTGGTTTCAATGTGCTTAGGCCCATCAGCCGTAGCGGTGATAAAAGGCAAACTGTACACAGAACCAAAATCATTTACTATTCCGCATTAGGACCAATGAGGACCAGTTAAATAGCTTTCAGAGGGATCATTAAACCTCATGTTTGTCTGAGTCAGTGAGGAAAGCTCAATTTTAGCTTTTTCAGCTGCCTCCGTCAACCTCTGAAGCGCTTGTTTGTCTTTCAGAAGATCTATACCTTCATCTTTCTTGAAAGTTGAAGCAAGCCAATCAACAACTCTCTGCAATTACCAAAGTCGTATCTACCAAGTTAATGAACAAATCCAGATTATCATCATCTCCTTAGGATTTCAAACAAGTCTCTGTTTTGACTCACCTTGTCAAAGTCATCACCTCCCAGATGTGTATCACCAGAAGTAGAAAGCACTTCAAAAACACCATCACCGACCTCAAGTACTACATTCCAAGAACCAGAAAATAATTAGAATGCTGCAATAGTTCCATTGTGCAATCCTAATTTAGAAGTAAAAAGTAGTATCTGAGACGTCGAAAGTACCACCACCAAGATCAAAGACAAGAATCGTTTCATTACTTTTTCTCTCAAACCCATAAGCCAAAGAAGCAGACGTCGGCTCATTGATAATACGAAGAACTTCCAAGCCAGCGATACGGCCAGCATCTTTTGTAGCTGTCCTTTGTGAATCATTAAAGTAAGCAGGCACAGTAATGACTGCTTTGGTTACTTTATCATTCAAGAATCTCGAAGCATCATCCACAAGCTTCCTCAGAACCTACAATACAACAACAAGTAGTAATCAACAGCAAAAGCTCCTCCACCATATTCAAAATTGAGCATAATAAATTCAATTTTATTTCAAACCTGAGCAGAAATCTCCTCAGCAGGAAATTGTTTACCAATAGCAGGACACTCAAGCTTAACATTTCCATTCTCATCTTTAATAACTCTATAGGAAACTTGCTTAGACTTTGAGCAACTTCGTTCATTCTCCTCCCAATAAACCTCTTCACAGAGAAGAAAGTATTCTCCGGATTAACAACAGCTTGACGCTTCGCAATCTGACCAACGAGACGATCTTTACTCTTCGTATAAGCAACAACGGAAGGTGTTGTTCTCTGACCTTCAGCGTTCGTTACAATCGTTGGTTTACCTCCTTCCATGGCAGCGACGGCTGAGTTCGTCGTTCCTAAATCGATTCCGACGACCTTTTCGTTAACAACACGGACTGGACCAACCGTATACCTGGAAGCACCCGTGCTTTTGCTTCTGCTTCTGCGACCCATCCTTAGGAAAGGACTGGTTCTGCTGCCGACGAAGAAGACGCTTCGAGGAGTGGAATAGTTACCGAACCAAAATTTTCTTCGGTTTTGAGAAGAACATCTTTTGCCAACTGCACATTTCCAGCTCTGAGCAACAATCAACTTTTCATAAATGTGAACATCAAATACCACATTCCTCTCAACCATCCCATTATACACATCCCAAAACAATCCAAACGATTAACGTATCCAACAAATGGTTACATCGTGCCAAATCAGGAACCAATCCCAATTTCATAGTGCTAGAAATCACAAAAACAGCTTCATCTAAAAACCCTTTTTCAATGTCAAAATCCCAAATAGAACTCCATTCTTTTCTTTTGAGGAAATGCAGAATCAGTAATGTGTATTTTAGTCGAACCATATTCTCCATAACCTTCTCAGCTGCCTCCATCTACAAGTGTTGTGTACACAAAACTATCAGGAACTAATCCCTTTAGTTTCATCTCATCAAATAACCGAAAAGCCTCCTCTAAATCCCCATGTTTGCAACATCCATCTATAATTGTACAGTAAATCACTGTATTAGGGGGAAACCTTTACCTGACAATTCCTTAGCTCTTTCAATTGCTCCAGACCTGCTGCAGTAGCCACCAATCAACATGTTGCATATGATGACATTAGGAGTCACACCTTCTTGATCCATCTCATCAAAAATACTAGAGGCCTTGTGCATATTCCCCAATTTAGAAAAGCCATCAGTGAGTGTACCACAAGAGGATACGTCTAGGTGTAATATCCTTTCCACGCATTTCCTGAAAAATCTCCTCAGCATCATTTACTTTACCGTTTTTAACAGGACCATTCATTAGAACACACACGCCTCTATTACTGAACACACACGCCTCTATTACTTTCCCCTTTTTACAAAACTCATTGATCAAACCCGTGCAAAAGACCTTATTTTGGAATCACGCCACATTCCAGCATCTCTTTCACATACTTGTCCGCAGATGCAAATTCCCCTGCCTCTATAGGTGAAAGCATCAGGCTTTGATCCGTTCTCGGCCATTTCAACCAGGTAAGACCTTGCTTCGTCCATCCTTTTGGCCTTTGAAAGGCCAATTATAAGGGAATTGTAGCAAAAAGTGTCTGGTGCGATTCCTTCATTTCTTTTAACACCTTACTGCATCTCCAAACCCACTTTTCTGAAGAAAGGTTTGTATGTATATAACCACATTGGGTCTGCAGCCATTTTCTTTAACAATGTTATAAGCAGATATCATTCACCGCTGTGCCATAAGTATATGCAGATAAGACAATGTTCCTCTTTTTCGTCTCAACAAGTAACTCATTACCCTAAAGTAGATTTTTTTCTCAGAAGTATCCCTCGATCAAACTAGCATAAGCCCGAGCACCTGGTGTCACTCTCATCCCATCAAAGAGAGCCCTCTCGTGGACTAGTCCTTTTGCATCTCTGCCCTTGAGTAAACGTTTTAATCAGTAAACTATAAGCAAAATTATCAGGAAACGCACCAAAACAAGTCATCTCTACCAGCAACGATTTAGCATCTTCCAGTCTCTTTTGCTTACACAACCCATCTATAAGTATATTGTTCGATGGCACCAATCCTTTGCAAATCATCGACTTCTTCAGCTCAAGAGCTTCATCCAAATCCGAATTTTTCTTCGGTTTCGACAAGAACATGTTTTGCCAACTGCACATTCCCAGATCTGCAATGAGCAACAATCAACTTTTCATAAATGTAAACATCAAATACCACATTCCTCTCAACCATCCCATTATACACATCCCAAAACAAATCCAAACGATTCCTCTTCAAGAACGCATCCAACAAATGGTTTCACAGTGCTAAAAACCCTTTTTCAATATCAAAATCCCAAATAGAACTCCACCATCATCATCGTCAGCACCAAAGACAGTGCCGGCGAATAAGGTGATCGGGATCCACGTTTCCGGCAGCTTGTGGAAAATTACCAAGCAAACTGGTGCCGCCATGACTCCGGCGAGTGCGTTCGTCAAGAAATTGATGTGATAATCCTCATCAGAGCGTGGTGGAGAAGAAGACGCCATTGTCACAGGAAGAACAGAGAAAAACGATTGAACTATGGAAAAGAGAGAGAGAATCGATAGAAAGTTGTTGAAGAGAGAGAAATGAAAGTTTGTTATGATTCGAGCTCCTCAATCACCTTCTTTTTTCTTTTTTCTTTTTTCTTCTCATCGAGCTCCTCAATCACCTTCTTGATTTTAAATTTGTCATTCTAGCAGAGAACGAAAAGCAATTGCATTAGTAACGGCATACAAAGCTGTTGAAGTACATCGTAGTGGTCCTCCGATTCTAACCTCAATTGTATTTTTCTTGGAGATTAGAGCATTGTATTCATCTTCTGCTTTTTCAAACATTGCCATAACCTTCTTGTTCACCCTTTTTTCCAAGCTTCATGAGGGAAATTGATAATGAAAACCAAGAAAGGAAGAAGAAAGCATGTTATATTGATACTGCATAAAGATATAAATGTTAATCCTCAAAACACATTATTACCCTGATTGATCTAACTGGAGCTTTTCAAGTTTATCTCTGGCTACATAAGGATCACAAGATTCAAAATCATAATCTGTCCCTCCTTTTTCGAAAAGTTGCTTTTCAGATGCGATCCATGTATGCTTCTCAACAAGTTTGTCTACCTTCACGGAACAATCCTTGTGATCCGTCTCCATCCTTACTACCTATAAAAAAAGTGGAAGAGAAAGTTCTCATGAAAAGCATATTCTTTGACATGCAAAATCTTTTACAAAACTATGTCCTTACCAATAAAAATGTGCAAGAGCAACATAAATCAGACTGGTAGTAAGGAAGAAACAAGCATGGCTTGTAGCTTTGCAAAACCTAGACAAGCCAAAAAGATGAAAGAGAAAGTACCTCATTTTCTAATCTCTTTCTCTCAAGCTTCATATCACTAAGGTTCTGCAGACATCACATTCCTTCATCTTTGCATGTATCAACTTAAGCTCTGCAAGAGACTCGTCATGAATCTTCTGTAAGGCATCAACCTGCAGGGGAATCATATATCAACATGATATTCTTCATTTTCAACAAATTCCCCCTAGAACAGCAAAAATACAGTTACCTTGGCCCGATGCTCGTCTACTTCTGATGTCAGAGTGCTAATTTGGGTTTTCAATGAAGCTAACTGGCTCTCCAAAGACGACTGTTCTTGCACCATTGCTTCTTCCTCCATCACAAGCTTTTCTTTTTCATTTTCATGACTCTATGAGCATGAAGAACCATAGAGATTGTTACAGCGAATTTTGAAAGGGTCAAAACGCAAAAGAAGAAAAGGTTTCCATAGAAGTAATGAAAAGAAAAAATGGATTCAAGAAGTTTAATGGCATAGAAAAAATGGATTCAATAAGTATTTGACTGAAAGATCTAGAATACCTTTAAATCTTTAGAAGCTGCCTGCATCTGAGCTTTGATGGTCTTAATATTTTTTTCCAAGTCCTTCAGTCTCCCCTCTCTGTTTTTTTCATGGTCTTTGATGGATTTCTCTAGTGTGGAGACAGCATCAACCACTACAAGAAAACTGTAATTTAGCGTCGGAATTTTTTCGACGCTAATATAGCGTCGAAATTGCGTCGAAGTTGTGTCAGTCTACATATTCGACGCTAATTCGACGCTAAGTAGGGTCGAATAAATTCGACGCTAAATCGATGCAAATTAGCATCGAATTAGCGTCGGAATTCCTGAATTCGACGCTAAAT